AGTGCCACACTTTCAATCGAAGTAACGGTGAAACAAGTCACAACCATTCATTACAGTTTCTATGAGCAACTTTTAATTTGAGATGAATGGCTAGGGATTCGAGTTGTGAAGTATAAATAACGGCTAAAAGCTTGTCATTAAGGATATCATATCTTGAATAAATACGTTTATAAATCAAAAGATATATGGTTCACAATTATTCTAGAAAAATTTCAAACCAGCTAAAGAATGCTGAACGCGAATATTCCATTTTGAATTTCAACTGATTACCATGGGGAAGTAATATGTGTAAAATTTACTGGGTGTTGATGGCAGTGTATCCATAAAGTTAAATAGTCTAATTTTTTGAAGAGATCCACTTTAGAACTCTTCTTTGGATGGAAAGATAAGCGTTTTTCACCTTCACATACCTAGACTCAATATGAAACATCCACTGAGTGGTTTCCTTGGGTTTGCTTTACATACCACTGATAATATTAGTTGGTTGACAGTAGTCGGCAGGAAGCTCTGGATCTAAATTTCCTGCTTTATGGTGCATGTCAGCAACGTATATCTGCAACCTCTACGGAATTGATATCCCCTCTGCGATTCAAAGCCTTTCGCTCAGTGTTGTAGTCAGAAACGTTACGCCTGAGCTAATCTGGCTGCGAATGACTTACTGAGGACTGGGTTGCATGCACTGAATGGTCACTGGAGGGCTCCCAATTTCATGCTGACTAGCGTTGTTTTCTAATTTCACCGAGTTCCAAGAAGCGTGAAACCGAGGTCCATGGTTGCCTGCTAGCTGCCTTCAACTAACTAACACCCATCAAAGTGTAACGTGATAGTGAGCCTCCTAGCTTGGTGGTCAAGCTTTAAAATAATCAACATAATTCGGACAGCACTTAGGACTAGACAACATGAAATCGGTTACCCTCTGATGCCTAATCAATATAAACTTCATATAATGTAATTTTCTTGTGTAGATAAAACACCAACTACCTGATAAATCATCATATTGGAATACTAGAATGTAGTAGCGGAAAAATTGTTCATTAAGGTCAGCAAAAGGTACGTCTTAGATACGATAAGATAAGCTGACTAAATTTTCCAGGATGACCAATAATTATTAGACCTGTTTCACTGTGGTTGGCTTTTAACCATGTCACCGAAAATCCCTACAGACTGATTCCTTTCATTATCTGGATCCTCTCAATGAGTTTCCACTATTCTGCATGGTAGATACCAAAAAATTTCGGTTCGGTAGTTTGATGTTGTATCTTACCCAGTCCACTTAGCCTAGTTTCAACCTAACCCTACTTCGATAAACGAAATACAATTTTGACATTCAGATCTATTTCAGCTAAAAACAGATCTCAGAGTGTAAAACAAGAGATATTTACAACACTTAAAGAATTTCATCTGGAGCCAGATTTTGTCGGTTCCTGTATGGATTTGAATTGAAAGTACCGACACAATCTCACTTGTCTATCTACCAGTTTGTTTTGTAATATCACTTCTGCAGTTTTGAATACTAACTTAAAATCGATTCTCCTCAATTCCTGATATTCTGTAAACCCTTTTTCTTCATGACATTTAAATATTTGACATCAAGAACAAAAGCCCCTGATAGGTTCCTTTTTATCTGTTCAACTATGAGAGTATGAGAACTTGTGAGTCTTTGCAAAATGTAAATGGAGACTAACATTTTAACCATGTTGACAAGATATAATCAACTGCATGACATCATTTGCATTTTTATAGTCATCAATTCTGTAATAAACTAGTAGTAGTGATTATTTAGTAAGGCTAGTTAGCCAGTTTGACAATGAACGTGAACAAAACTAAATAATGAATTAAACATTTTCAAGAGTTGATTTAAACAAGCAAATTTTGGATGAAGTTTTTTCAAAAAAACTAGAGTAACATTTTAATGGAGCCTGTCTATCATATTTGTGATAACAGCATTTATCAGTTAAACAGTAGTATACATGAGATGACGTGTTAACTATCTTTTTTTTTAATAGACTACGAAAAAAATTTGTAAAAAACGTAAATATGTTCTAAAAGCAGAAAATTGATTTATGATTTGATATTGCCTGATCTTTGTAGTAAATAGAAGGTTCATTTTAAGTGAGTCCATGTCAACTAAATTATATTATTATGATATTAATATGTCTAATGAGGATTTGATTGCTTTCATTATTTTAAATCGTTTGCTGTCGATTATTGTAGACCAAAATGACTAACCTCTGTTTCGATCCATGGAAGCATCGATATTGTATGTGATAACACCATAACTGAATGTATCGGAGAATAACAGTAGGGTGAAGCAAACAGGTATCTATCTATATTGGCCTTATCTTCACATTACTTCTGTACTTCATGGAATGATGGTTTACTGATTAATAGTTGAAATAAGTTTCCGTAGCTTTGAACCATCAAAACGTTTCTTCTAGACAAATAGGTTGAGATGATTAAAATTTTCCAGAAAGTTAACAGTTGATACCAATGACTACAATCTATTTTCATGATTTTTTTTGTATTAAAACTAATTGGTCAGTATTGGTATTTATTTCTCCGAAATAATCTCTCCATATTTCATATGACTTCTAGGTGATTGCACCTGTGGGCGTTGCTGATCAGAATGGATATAAGTAGTATTTGTTGAGACGGTGGCAGAAATCATAGGGAATTACCAGCAATGGGTTAGGATTCCGCCAAGAGAAATGCAAGAAACAAAGCAGGCGTATGAAGAGCAAATCAAGAAAGAAGCAGAAGGGAAAATGAAGCATATTTTGCAAATGGCGGTGTACCATATTTAACGACTACTATCCCGCTTGTTAACAATAAACATTCCTTCCTGCATACCAGCTTTTTGCTTCTTTCAGTAGTAGCCAGGTGAACTACCATTCAAATAAAATTTCTGATTTATACTTCCAAATGAATTAATAGTCTGAGTAAATCTTGGTTGTATTGTGTTCTCTGAGCTGGGTTGTTTAATCATGAAGCTTTCGTCATCCTTCTACACGACTTCATCAGCACTAAGTTCAGTATAAAGTGAGCTGTCAGTATCTCTCCGTGAGTGATTTAGTAGCTTGCCTTGATGAAGTGGCCTATGATTGGTTGTTTCCTTTGATTGTTGTGTCATTGACTGTATAGATTTTCCTGTTGGCTGTCCCTCTGCTTGACCTCTGACCTTTCTGTCGCTTATCATCTTTCTTATTGGTTGATAGTTGGGTCTATGTCTATGCATCTGTTGATTGCTGACTGACCTGAATGCCAAGCTTCTAGGAATTCTCTGATATCTTTTGTGCTTCCTCTGTACAAAATTTCCACATTGTCGAAACTGAATTCATGTCCACAGTTGTTATCCACATGCATTGAAATGAGTGATAAAATGTAACGTTCGATAGCCAATTGGTGTTTACGTAAACGAAGGCGAAAAGGGCGACCACTTTGTCCAATGTAGTGTTGACTACAGTTATTGCAGCTGATTTTGTAAATGATATTCGGTTTGTCTTCTTTGGTTGTCGCATGCTTTGGTCTGCATAATAGTGTTTGAAGGGAATTTGTTGGTTTATGAGCCACAGCAATTCCAAGTGGTCTCAGTAATCTTGTCGTGATTTCTGATTTATTCTTTATGTATGGTAGGACGATGCGTTTGTTGATTTCTGTGGATGACTTTGTAGTTGATGATGCACAGGATAGGCATTTTCTGATAAAGTTTCGTGGGTAGCCGTTTTTTGAGGGTGGACATGAAGTAATTTTCTTGGTTTCTCTGTGAAGTTGTTGTGCTGCAGTGTGTTCTCGCTCTTCTGAATAGAGTCTGCACGCAACTGATGTTGTGGGTTGTTGGGTTGTTGCTGCTGTATTTGAGGACTTGGTCAGTGTGTGTCGGCTTCCTGTACACTTGGGTTTCCAGCTTCCCCGTATTAGTTCTAATGACCAGAACATCCAGGAGTAGCAGTTGGTTGTTTGACTCTTTCTCCACTGTGAATTTCATGTCAATGAAAACGTTGTTGATCAAACTGTGGCTGTTTTCTATATCATCTTTTTTAATGGTGACAAAAGTGTCGTCTACGTAGCGAATCCAGAATTTGGTTTGATCACAGGTAGGATGATGGCTTCTAGTCTCTGCATCACTGTTTTTGCAATTATTCCGGATATCGGTGATCCCATTGGAGTTCCTTTCATCTGTTTGTATATCTTGCCGTCGAATTGGAAGTATGTTGTCAGACAAAGGTCGATGAGTTCCATCAGACTTGAACATTTAAGTTTTGTGCGCTCTGAAAAGTTTTTGTCTTCATTGTCCAGGAGGGATATCGTTTCCTTGGCCAATTGAGGTTCGATAGATGTGTATAGTGCTGTGACGTCAAAGGATACCATTAATTCGTCGTTTTCTTTTGTTAATATTTGTGATCTTTTCTAAGAATTCTGTTGGTGACTTGATGGAATATCCGCATGATTGAAAGAGGTGTTTCAGTTTTCTCGAAAGTTCTCTTGATATGTTGTATGTTGGAGTTCCTGGAAGTGAGACAACCAGTAGTAGAGGGATATCTGGTTTGTGTATTTTTGGTCTACCGTAGAACCGAGGAAGGACAGATACATTCGATTTCATTCTACATTTGTCTTGCTTTGATTGGGATATTTTTCTGTTAATTACATACATGATTAACATGTAAGTATTAAGGGGACTGATTATTTACAATAAATTTCACCTGAACTCATATCTACAGATGGATGCGTGAAAGTAGAGTATATGTATTATGCAATGTCCAAATGTAGGCTTGAGAAACCTATGATTTACGTAGATAAACTTGGAAAACATTGAAAACATTGAAAGTGGAAGAAATATAAAGACACAAATGACGTTTCCTAAAAAATAAAACTGACAAAGATTGCTAGAGTACCCTGTATTTTTCATATTTCCTAACTACTTGAGTAAAATTACTTTGACAAATAGGTTTAATGTACTCAAAAATACGGAAAGGAATACTGGCTTTTTATCAAAGTGATTAATGTATTTGGTTAGACATTTATCTTATGTTTTAAAACAAGTGTTATGGTATGTTAAACTCGTGAGTACGTGGTGTATTTTACTTGTGTAAATACCGGCGTAGTATATTAGGATAAATAACAAAATTAAAAAAACATTTTATATTATTCCTCAACTTTTCGATATTACTAAGAAGATCATTTTCAACAGAAATATCATTCAGTGTTACCGGGGTATCTTGCTCCAAACAGTTCAACAACCTCATTCTGATATCGAGGAACTTAGGTGACTGTGGACTGCAAAATGACGTAAAGTGGTAGTCCGTAGTGGAATTCTGTTTAAATCGTTCACATTCGCGATTAACAATATCAATTTGGATAAGGAAATCATCATTCTCGTTTATAATCAGCTTCAAACAGAGATATCAAGCATTGAAGAGATCAGTGATCACCAAAATATTGTCTCAATTTCTGAACTGCGGCAATAAAAGTATGATCACATGGAATATGCGGCAAAATTATGTTTCAATATTGGTCAAGCTCAGATGGAACAAGCTTGGAAAGTAGAAGACTTGCCTTCTATGAATCATCCTGGAAAACAAAGTCCACTTAGAAACGATCTTTGTAATGCCTAAACCAAGAGTCAAAAGCCACATTGCACCAGGATTGTAGTGAAATTCAGTGATAACACTGACAACGCCATCGACCAAAGAGGCTATTAAAACTGGCGTAGCAGGTGATGATTCAGTACCAGAAACTCTGAGGGACTTAACCGACTCGATAATCTTTATTTGTTAGGGGAATGTGTTCAACTTCGAAGAATTCTGCTCCTTATAATTCCGTTGCCAACTATTATGGTTTCAAACTACTATAGCCGCTAACGACTGTCAGCCATCGAATTTCTACAACTTCTTAGTTGATTCCCTACCCGTTTAAATAATAAATAAGAAACAGGGAACTTGCAGGAAAATGTATGCAGAACGAAGAACCGAAGTGATCAACAAAAAGAGATATCAATACATAGAGATAATCCGCTTTAAAAAATAAAAAATTGATTACTTGATTGCCTGTTAGTCGAAGTGCAATCGTATCAACAAAGTAATTCTGATTTATTTATTTATTTATTTACGCAGTTGCAATAACAAAATCCATAAAATATACCGATAGTTTCAAAATATTTAATGAATATATATGTATATACATATATAAATGGTTCCCCAACTGATATCAGTCCATGATGAATGCTACTTCTAAATTAAAAATCCCCATTCATCTCAAAAATACATTACCGTATAGTGCTCATCAGTGACTTGCTTTCAGATGGATATCACGAAGCTCTATTGAGAAACCCTGAACTGTGGGGTCAACCAGTCGTAAGTGAAGCGGATGATAACTGAAGACCTTGACTGATAGTCGCACTATGTCGTGAATTGACGAAATTGGAAGTTGTGAACCATTGGAAACCGACCCAGGAGACAAATGGGTAACTCATTCGACGTGAAACATGAAGGCCGTGAGTTCGTGGGTGCGTACCGCAGAGCAGTCCCATACTAGGACGGCAAAGACGTCCAGTGCTCCCACATTTACAGAGTTTCCTCAACTGATGTCAACCCACAGTGAATACTATTTCCATACATAAATAATGCGAAATAGAGCAAGGCGTAAAGTAAAAAACACAAAAGCATGAAGACCTGATACCGAACAAAAAATATTAAAAAATACAAAAAGATAAAAAACAAAGACAACCAGAAAAAAAAATAAAACAAGATGAAAAAACATCCAGAGGAAAGAGAAAGAAAAGAGTAAACGAGAACAAGAACTAACGTTGAAAAACTGGAACAAATGCACAAAAAAAAACCAAAGAGAAACACGAAAGCAACCAGCAGAGCAAGGGAAGCGGATGGACGGAGGAACGGACGGACAGGCAGTCAGAAAGGTAGATAGATAGACAGACTCAGGTATGCAGACTGACGCACACACGCACACACACACACACACACGAAGATAAGCATACAGAAGGACATACGCACGGATATACACCACTCACTCCATATGTATCCGGTCTCCAGATGGTTTGTGTGATTGAGTTAATACGATATGGTGTGTGTATGTGTGTGAGTAAGTGAGTGGGTGGAGAGGAAGAGTGTTCGTTTGATGTCGGTTGTCTAGGAGGCGTGTGTAGGTGTCTGTTCAGCTGTCGGTGAGTGAATGTCGAGTGTGAGCAGTGTGGTTGAGGCAACGTCGATGGCGGTATTGTCGGAGGGTTGACGTTGTTGGATTGGTGGATTGTCATGTTTGTGTAGTGTGCTTGGCGTCTTGTTAAAAGCCTGTGTCGGAGGTGGGATTCGAACCCACGCCCACATCGTGGACCAGAACACCCAGAAGGATACTCTTGAGTCTGGCGCCTTAGACCGCTCGGCCACCCCGACCAACATGGCGTAAACGAGCACTCATCACACACTGTCCATTCCTACTCAACAACAACAACCATCAACTTAAAATACAACAAAACAAATCACTCCACCTCATCTCATCTCATCTCATCTCAATTCAAATCACATCAAATGACAATCAACACACACCGGTCATCGTCCTCCCAACACAACAATCACAACGTCCAGTTGACACGCGATTGCCTCTCTCGTGAATTCCAATCACAACCCAAGGAATATCATCAATCCATTTTTGCCCAACACAGTCAACAGAAACACTCGAACATGCACCCACATACACCTAACCGTCTACATGCTCTACCACTCTCTCACACACTGACACATTCACACTCACATAGAACACACACACAAACATACACACAGACGGACGGACAGACTGACTGACAGAGAGTCAGCCACTATGTCACTCCCTGCATCGACCACACTACGACTAACCCGCGTTCGCTGACAAATACACGCATGAAAGCACGCACGCACGCACGCATGCACACACACACACAAATGGACACATATACTATTCACAAACACACTTGGATTGTCGTCTAAGCTAAGCATCCGCCTCAACCAAATCACCGACCACGAGTGACAGGCACTAGTTGCCAGTGCACAACCCAGTCGCGTGCCAATGCGAATGTCCAACCTCATGATGACCAGGATCATATAACACGACTTCAACAACCACAAGCTTCCCCGTTCATACACAATAATAATAATAATAATAATAATAATAATAATAATAACAATAATAATAATAATAACAATAATAATAATAATAATAATAATGACAATAACAATAATAATAATAGTCATGATGATAATAACAATAATGATAATCAACATCATCATGAGCGTCATAATAATAATACTGACTGTTGTGTGGACCGTGTCACATGTGAGTTGTGCCCTGCACTCTGTGGTCTAGTCTGCCCTCAAATCCGCCTTGTCTCATCCAGTGTGTTGATTCAGTGCATTACGACACAAGGATGGCAAGTGAATTGTCACCTGCACCGACTCTCGTGCACACATACTAAGCGTCCACTCGTGTGTGTGATTCTCGTGTTGACCTCCTGGAAGTGTGTGTTGTGCAGTTCGGTGAGCAGTTAGTCGACCATGTGACTCGCCATCCTGTTGTTCAGCTGTCTGCCGTTGATTGTGCTGCCTCGAAGATTGTGGGTTTGCGAAGGAGGTGAGTGAAGTCGAGACTCGCCTTCGCACAAACGCCATTTCATGCTGACTAGACATGCGGACACGAAGGAGCATAGCAACTCGGAGAGACAGGGAAGCGGATGGACGGAGGAACGGACGGACAGGCAGTCAGAAAGGTAGATAGATAGACAGACTCAGGTATGCAGACTGACGCACACACACACACACACACACACACACGAAGATAAGCATACAGAAGGACATACGCACGGATATACACCACTCACTCCATATGTATCCGGTCTCCAGATGGTTTGTGTGATTGAGTTAATACGATATGGTGTGTGTATGTGTGTGAGTAAGTGAGTGGGTGGAGAGGAAGAGTGTTCGTTTGATGTCGGTTGTCTAGGAGGCGTGTGTAGGTGTCTGTTCAGCTGTCGGTGAGTGAATGTCGAGTGTGAGCAGTGTGGTTGAGGCAACGTCGATGGCGGTATTGTCGGAGGGTTGACGTTGTTGGATTGGTGGATTGTCATGTTTGTGTAGTGTGCTTGGCGTCTTGTTAAAAGCCTGTGTCGGAGGTGGGATTCGAACCCACGCCCACATCGTGGACCAGAACACCCAGAAGGATACTCTTGAGTCTGGCGCCTTAGACCGCTCGGCCACCCCGACCAACATGGCGTAAACGAGCACTCATCACACACTGTCCATTCCTACTCAACAACAACAACCATCAACTTAAAATACAACAAAACAAATCACTCCACCTCATCTCATCTCATCTCATCTCAATTCAAATCACATCAAATGACAATCAACACACACCGGTCATCGTCCTCCCAACACAACAATCACAACGTCCAGTTGACACGCGATTGCCTCTCTCGTGAATTCCAATCACAACCCAAGGAATATCATCAATCCATTATTGCCCAACACAGTCAACAGAAACACTCGAACATGCACCCACATACACCTAACCGTCTACATGCTCTACCACTCTCTCACACACTGACACATTCACACTCACATAGACACACACAAACATACACACAGACGGACGGACAGACTGACTGACAGAGAGTCAGCCACTATGTCACTCCCTGCATCGACCACACTACGACTAACCCGCGTTCGCTGACAAATACACGCATGAAAGCACGCACGCACGCACGCATGCACACACACACACAAATGGACACATATACTATTCACAAACACACTTGGATTGTCGTCTAAGCTAAGCATCCGCCTCAACCAAATCACCGACCACGAGTGACAGGTACTAGTTGCCAGTGCACAACCCAGTCGCGTGCCAATGCGAATGTCCAACCTCATGATGACCAGGATCATATAACACGACTTCAACAACCACAAGCTTCCCCGTTCATACACAATAATAATAATAATAATAATAATAATAATAATAATAACAATAATAATAATAATAATAACAATAATAATAATAATAATAACAATAATAATAATAGTCATGATGATAATAACAATAATGATAATCAACATCATCATGAGCGTCATAATAATAATACTGACTGTTGTGTGGACCGTGTCACATGTGAGTTGTGCCCTGCACTCTGTGGTCTAGTCTGCCCTCAAATCCGCCTTGTCTCATCCAGTGTGTTGATTCAGTGCATTACGACACAAGGATGGCAAGTGAATTGTCACCTGCACCGACTCTCGTGCACACATACTAAGCGTCCACTCGTGTGCGTGATTCTCGTGTTGACCTCCTGGAAGTGTGTGTTGTGCAGTTCGGTGAGCAGTTAGTCGACCATGTGACTCGCCATCCTGTTGTTCAGCTGTCTGCCGTTGATTGTGCTGCCTCGAAGATTGTGGGTTTGCGAAGGAGGTGAGTGAAGTCGAGACTCGCCTTCGCACAAACGCCATTTCATGCTGACTAGACATGCGGACACGAAGGAGCATAGCAACTCGGAGAGACAGGGAAGCGGATGGACGGAGGAACGGACGGACAGGCAGTCAGAAAGGTAGATAGATAGACAGACTCAGGTATGCAGACTGACGCACCACACACACGCACACACACACACACACGAAGATAAGCATACAGAAGGACATACGCACGGATATACACCACTCACTCCATATGTATCCGGTCTCCAGATGGTTTGTGTGATTGAGTTAATACGATATGGTGTGTGTATGTGTGTGAGTAAGTGAGTGGGTGGAGAGGAAGAGTGTTCGTTTGATGTCGGTTGTCTAGGAGGCGTGTGTAGGTGTCTGTTCAGCTGTCGGTGAGTGAATGTCGAGTGTGAGCAGTGTGGTTGAGGCAACGTCGATGGCGGTATTGTCGGAGGGTTGACGTTGTTGGATTGGTGGATTGTCATGTTTGTGTAGTGTGCTTGGCGTCTTGTTAAAAGCCTGTGTCGGAGGTGGGATTCGAACCCACGCCCACATCGTGGACCAGAACACCCAGAAGGATACTCTTGAGTCTGGCGCCTTAGACCGCTCGGCCACCCCGACCAACATGGCGTAAACGAGCACTCATCACACACTGTCCATTCCTACTCAACAACAACAACCATCAACTTAAAATACAACAAAACAAATCACTCCACCTCATCTCATCTCATCTCATCTCATCTCATCTCAATTCAAATCAAATCAAATGACAATCAACACACACCGGTCATCGTCCTCCCAACACAACAATCACAACGTCCAGTTGACACGCGATTGCCTCTCTCGTGAATTCCAATCACAACCCAAGGAATATCATCAATCCATTTTTGCCCAACACAGTCAACAGAAACACTCGAACATGCACCCACATACACCTAACCGTCTCCATGCTCTACCACTCTCTCACACACTGACACATTCACACTCACATAGACACACACACAAACATACACACAGACGGACGGACAGACTGACTGACAGAGAGTCAGCCACTATGTCACTCCCTGCATCGACCACACTACGACTAACCCGCGTTCGCTGACAAATACACGCATGAAAGCACGCACGCACGCACGCATGCACACACACACACAAATGGACACATATACTATTCACAAACACACTTGGATTGTCGTCTAAGCTAAGCATCCGCCTCAACCAAATCACCGACCACGAGTGACAGGCACTAGTTGCCAGTGCACAACCCAGTCGCGTGCCAATGCGAATGTCCAACCTCATGATGACCAGGATCATATAACACGACTTCAACAACCACAAGCTTCCCCGTTCATACACAATAATAATAATAATAATAATAATAATAATAATAATAATAATAATAATAATAATAACAATAATAATAATAATAATAATAATAATAACAATAATAATAATAGTCATGATGATAATAACAATAATGATAATCAACATCATCATGAGCGTCATAATAATAATACTGACTGTTGTGTGGACCGTGTCACATGTGAGTTGTGCCCTGCACTCTGTGGTCTAGTCTGCCCTCAAATCCGCCTTGTCTCATCCAGTGTGTTGATTCAGTGCATTACGACACAAGGATGGCAAGTGAATTGTCACCTGCACCGACTCTCGTGCACACATACTAAGCGTCCACTCGTGTGTGTGATTCTCGTGTTGACCTCCTAGAAGTGTGTGTTGTGCAGTTCGGTGAGCAGTTAGTCGACCATGTGACTCGCCATCCTGTTGTTCAGCTGTCTGCCGTTGATTGTGCTGCCTCGAAGATTGTGGGTTTGCGAAGGAGGTGAGTGAAGTCGAGACTCGCCTTCGCACAAACGCCATTTCATGCTGACTAGACATGCGGACACGAAGGAGCATAGCAACTCGGAGAGACAGGGAAGCGGATGGACGGAGGAACGGATGGACAGGCAGTCAGAAAGGTAGATAGATAGACAGACTCAGGTATGCAGACTGACGCACACACACACACACACACACACACACACACGAAGATAAGCATACAGAAGGACATACGCACGGATATACACCACTCACTCCATATGTATCCGGTCTCCAGATGGTTTGTGTGATTGAGTTAATACGATATGGTGTGTGTATGTGTGTGAGTAAGTGAGTGGGTGGAGAGGAAGAGTGTTCGTTTGATGTCGGTTGTCTAGGAGGCGTGTGTAGGTGTCTGTTCAGCTGTCGGTGAGTGAATGTCGAGTGTGAGCAGTGTGGTTGAGGCAACGTCGATGGCGGTATTGTCGGAGGGTTGACGTTGTTGGATTGGTGGATTGTCATGTTTGTGTAGTGTGCTTGGCGTCTTGTTAAAAGCCTGTGTCGGAGGTGGGATTCGAACCCACGCCCACATCGTGGACCAGAACACCCAGAAGGATACTCTTGAGTCTGGCGCCTTAGACCGCTCGGCCACCCCGACCAACATGGCGTAAACGAGCACTCATCACACACTGTCCATTCCTACTCAACAACAACAACCATCAACTTAAAATACAACAAAACAAATCACTCCACCTCATCTCGCTCATCTCATCTCATCTCATCTCAATTCAAATCACATCAAATGACAATCAACACACACCGGTCATCGTCCTCCCAACACAACAATCACAACGTCCAGTTGACACGCGATTGCCTCTCTCGTGAATTCCAATCACAACCCAAGGAATATCATCAATCCATTTTTGCCCAACACAGTCAACAGAAACACTCGAACATGCACCCACATACACCTAACCGTCTACATGCTCTACCACTCTCTCACACACTGACACATTCACACTCACATAGACACACACACACAAACATACACACAGACGGACGGACAGACTGACTGACAGAGAGTCAGCCACTATGTCATTCCCTGCATCGACCACACTACGACTAACCCGCGTTCGCTGACAAATACACGCATGAAAGCACGCACGCACGCACGCATGCACACACACACACAAATGGACACATATACTATTCACAAACACACTTGGATTGTCGTCTAAGCTAAGCATCCGCCTCAACCAAATCACCGACCACGAGTGACAGGCACTAGTTGCCAGTGCACAACCCAGTCGCGTGCCAATGCGAATGTCCAACCTCATGATGACCAGGATCATATAACACGACTTCAACAACCACAAGCTTCCCCGTTCATACACAATAATAATAATAATAATAATAATAATAATAATAATAATAATAACAATAATAATAATAATAACAATAATAATAATAATAATAATAATAATAACAATAATAATAATAGTCATGATGATAATAACAATAATGATAATCAACATCATCATGAGCGTCATAATAATAATACTGACTGTTGTGTGGACCGTGTCACATGTGAGTTGTGCCCTGCACTCTGTGGTCTAGTCTGCCCTCAAATCCGCCTTGTCTCATCCAGTGTGTTGATTCAGTGCATTACGACACAAGGATGGCAAGTGAATTGTCACCTGCACCGACTCTCGTGCACACATACTAAGCGTCCACTCGTGTGCGTGATTCTCGTGTTGACCTCCTGGAAGTGTGTGTTGTGCAGTTCGGTGAGCAGTTAGTCGACCATGTGACTCGCCATCCTGTTGTTCAGCTGTCTGCCGTTGATTGTGCTGCCTCGAAGATTGTGGGTTTGCGAAGGAGGTGAGTGAAGTCGAGACTCGCCTTCGCACAAACGCCATTTCATGCTGACTAGACATGCGGACACGAAGGAGCATAGCAACTCGGAGAGACAGGGAAGCGGATGGACGGAGGAACGGACGGACAGGCAGTCAGAAAGGTAGATAGATAGACAGACTCAGGTATGCAGACTGACGCACACACGCACACACACACACACGAAGATAAGCATACAGAAGGACATACGCACGGATATACACCACTCACTCCATATGTATCCGGTCTCCAGATGGTTTGTGTGATTGAGTTAATACGATATGGTGTGTGTATGTGTGTGAGTAAGTGAGTGACAGTAATAATTATAGTCATGATGATAATAACAATAATGATAATCAACATCATCATGAGCGTCATAATAATAATACTGACTGTTGTGTGGACCGTGTCACATGTGAGTTGTGCCCTGCACTCTGTGGTCTAGTCTGCCCTCAAATCCGCCTTGTCTCATCCAGTGTGTTGATTCAGTGCATTACGACACAAGGATGGCAAGTGAATTGTCACCTGCACCGACTCTCGTGCACACATACTAAGCGTCCACTCGTGTGCGTGATTCTCGTGTTGACCTCCTGGAAGTGTGTGTTGTGCAGTTCGGTGAGCAGTTAGTCGACCATGTGACTCGCCATCCTGTTGTTCAGCTGTCTGCCGTTGATTGTGCTGCCTCGAAGATTGTGGGTTTGCGAAGGAGGTGAGTGAAGTCGAGACTCGCCTTCGCACAAACGCCATTTCATGCTGACTAGACATGCGGACACGAAGGAGCATAGCAACTCGGAGAGACAGGGAAGCGGATGGACGGAGGAACGGACGGACAGGCAGTCAGAAAGGTAGATAGATAGACAGACTCAGGTATGCAGACTGACGCACACACGCACACACACACACGAAGATAAGCATACAGAAGGACATACGCACGGATATACACCACTCACTCCATATGTATCCGGTCTCCAGATGGTTTGTGTGATTGAGTTAATACGATATGGTGTGTGTATGTGTGTGAGTAAGTGAGTGACAGTAATAATTATAGTCATGATGATAATAACAATAATGATAATCAACATCATCATGAGCGTCATAATAATAATACTGACTGTTGTGTGGACCGTGTCACATGTGAGTTGTGCCCTGCACTCTGTGGTCTAGTCTGCCCTCAAATCCGCCTTGTCTCATCCAGTGTGTTGATTCAGTGCATTACGACACAAGGATGGCAAGTGAATTGTCACCTGCACCGACTCTCGTGCACACATACTAAGCGTCCACTCGTGTGCGTGATTCTCGTGTTGACCTCCTGGAAGTGTGTGTTGTGCAGTTCGGTGAGCAGTTAGTCGACCATGTGACTCGCCATCCTGTTGTTCAGCTGTCTGCCGTTGATTGTGCTGCCTCGAAGATTGTGGGTTTGCGAAGGAGGTGAGTGAAGTCGAGACTCGCCTTCGCACAAACGCCATTTCATGCTGACTAGACATGCGGACACGAAGGAGCATAGCAACTCGGAGAGACAGGGAAGCGGATGGACGGAGGAACGGACGGACAGGCAGTCAGAAAGGTAGATAGATAGACAGACTCAGGTATGCAGACTGACGCACACACGCACACACACACACACACGAAGATAAGCATACAGAAGGACATACGCACGGATATACACCACTCACTCCATATGTATCCGGTCTCCAGATGGTTTGTGTGATTGAGTTAATACGATATGGTGTGTGTATGTGTGTGAGTAAGTGAGTGGGTGGAGAGGAAGAGTGTTCGTTTGATGTCGGTTGTCTAGGAGGCGTGTGTAGGTGTCTGTTCAGCTGTCGGTGAGTGAATGTCGAGTGTGAGCAGTGTGGTTGAGGCAACGTCGATGGCGGTATTGTCGGAGGGTTGACGTTGTTGGATTGGTGGATTGTCATGTTTGTGTAGTGTGCTTGGCGTCTTGTTAAAAGCCTGTGTCGGAGGTGGGATTCGAACCCACGCCCACATCGTGGACCAGAACACCCAGAAGGATACTCTTGAGTCTGGCGCCTTAGACCGCTCGGCCACCCCGACCAACATGGCGTAAACGAGCACTCATCACACACTGTCCATTCCTACTCAACAACAACAACCATCAACTTAAAATACAACAAAACAAATCACTCCACCTCATCTCATCTCATCTCATCTCAATTCAAATCACATCAAATGACAATCAACACACACCGGTCATCGTCCTCCCAACACAACAATCACAACGTCCAGTTGACACGCGATTGCCTCTCTCGTGAATTCCAATCACAACCCAAGGAATATCATCAATCCATTTTTGCCGAACTGGGTCATTATGAGTACGACCTCTTTCAGTCTTTTTCTGATGTTCGTCGCTGCTTTGTTTTTTTTTTCTGTTTTTTTGCCGCCTTCGCCCCTGTTGTTTGCTTATTGATTATTCGACTAATAGACCTTCGCGCTTGTATGTACACAGCAAGTATCTTTTTTTATATCTGTCCCTTGCCTTCTTATATTCTCATTTAACCACTCCTCGAAGCACTATCTATCCCATCGTTGGCAACTTTCGGTTGTTTTGGGAAGGTGTACAGCAATGTATACACCACATTTTTCACGCTGTCTGTGGATCACCCACTTCAGTAGAACGCTGTTGAACATTGGTTCGACTGTGACACTAATCGCAATCGATGTGACTGTTGGAATCTCCACACTCTGTGATAGCGATGTGATCAATGAATGAGGAAAATAATCACTGAAGCGCCCAGAAACAACCACACAAGCCCACTCATCCCACGACCAATCTGTTAGTCAATCAATTCGAACTGACACTGCTCCACTCAGTGAATCAGCAGAAGGTTCACAGCTCGGTTGCACAGTTGGACACAAACAGCCACACAAAGACAAACGTGAAGGAGAACGCAAAGGCGTACATGCAGTCGAGTTGAGGAACACATGAAGTAATGCAGGTGAAGTGTCTGTCTGCACCTGTTGTTTCTCTTGATGGGATTATATGCACAGTTGGTGGCGGATGGCTCGCTCCTAACGTGCTCCACCATCTCAATTGAATGCAAACACTTCACCGTCTGATCGCATCAGATCTCTTATCATCTGTGAAAGATATCCTGTCGAGCAAAGTGCATTTAAACATACTTTTATGTGTTGTATATTTGTGTTTTTTATTGGTTTTTCGTTGCATTCGTTTTTATTGTTTCTGTAGACTTCTTTTCCGCTACTTTTTTTGACGTTTTTAGCTTCTTCCACTTGTTGATTTTGATTTTTTTCGGTGTCATAATTCTTTTTTACCTTGGTATCTTCTTTGGGGTAGTTTTTTTTTCTTGATGCACGGCTGGGTGCTTTTGATTGTATGTCGTCATTTTTGAAATATTTCTTTATTGTCATCGTAGTCATTTTCATGAGACTTGTTGATTTTCTTACTTGTAGTTTTATACTTCTCTTTGTCTGTACAAATTTTATGTACTTTTCGGTGGTTTTTTGTCTTAATGCTAACTTTTTTTCGCATTCATGAGAGTTATTTTTTCCTTTTTTATGTCTTATTTGCTTTTCAACATATTTTGTGTAATTACTGATTTACGAAAGACAAAATATTTCCCATTAGACTTCTAGGAGTCTAAATGTCATCTGAAAACTGACGGTAAACCACTTCTCCTCAGGTGCACTTTTAAAATTCAGCCTAGTTAGTTAACAATATCAATGCGTGTCAGTCACTTCAGAGAGCAAATATAGTCGCCCGCTCTTTATCCAAAGATAGAAATAATGTGGAGAAAAGTTCATGACCAAGGTGATTTACGAAGATATATTTGTTCGAAAATATAAGGATCTGAATGATTAAGTCTTACATTTTTGAGGAAACATTTACTATGGCCTGATAATGATAGTATTCTTATACTTGTAATTCGAAAGTGAAATTCCATGCTTGACTCGCTTATTTGTTATATATCACACAGTGCTATATTTCAGGGTCGTAGCTCTGTTCTGAGTATGTGCAGCAGACTTCAAAAAGGTTTCGATAGACAAATATTATTAGCCCATCTCTACCCAGCGATCGTTTTTTGGTTTTACGACCTTCATGTATCAAAGAAGATGAGTTTCAAAATGTCTTTAGGATTCAGTAAGCAGTGGAACGTGAGGCTGGTTACGCTTACTATGTGAATTCGTATATGACAAGCACTCAGTAGTCGTAAAAGAATGAATCCTTTATTTTAATCTTTATTTTTACAGTATTTTGAAAACAATATAAAGACTATCTGACATTATTCTATGCAAAGCTGTTATCTATATGGCAGTCTTTGAGCAAACATAGCAAAGACAATTTCAAGGTTTACGAGAATTTTTACTTCAAGGTAGCATTCATCGCCAGCTGACATCTGCTGGAGAATCATTGAAAATATATCAGTATAAGACGGCTACTTCGTTTGAGTATGAGACTTTTCAGCAGCACGCACCCACGACCCTACCCTACCAGGGATCGAACTCAGGCTCTTCGGGTGATGCGGCGAACGCGTTGGCCACTCACCTACTTAGTCAGAATTCAGTAGTTCGCAGTTCTCCACTTCTGTCAGTTCGCTCATAGGGCAAATGTCAACCGAGCTTTTCAGTTAGCATCCGCTTCACTTCCAAATGGTTGGCTCCACCGGTCACAGCTTTCAACTAGAATTCCGGGATATCCGCCTCGAAGCATGCCATTATGAGCACTATGTGGTAATGTATTTCGAGCTTTATGAGGATATGTATTTCAAGAATTAGTAGAATTAAGAAACTCCAAACCACTGATCTCTGACCCATAGGCTGAAAGGTTAATGCGTTCAGCGTGAGACTAGAAGGTCCTGAGTTCGATAGCTAACTGGATCATGGGTGTGTATTACTGGGCAGTCCCATACTAAGAAGAAACAACTGTCCAGTGTTCCAAGATTTTCACTGATTCTCCAGTTGATGCCAGTCCTTGATGGACACTACTTTAATATACGTGGACATTTACACATGGGCATTTTAAAGTACTTTCAAAGCTCTGGAAGATTATTTTTCACACGATTACAGTAAATACAATCACATAACTTAGTCTGATTTTTGTATGTAAATGTTGGAAAAACAGTGTCAAAAGAACTGACTATGTGTTACTGTGTAGTGTGTTTGGCATAAATTACTTGGTGGTAATTGACAGAATGTCGACCAAATTCAGTCAGCACCTGGACTATGTCATGTAGTTTCAACTTTTGTAGCTCTTCAGTAACGCACTAAAATCGAATCAGGGTAATATTAGCTGATATATTTTATAAAGCATCAGCTTCTTAAAATGCAAACGGACCTTCACGAATGAAAATTGATGAACAATATGAATAAAAGTGATTCCTAGAGATAACTATGACAGATCAACAAAGAATAAAGCACCAAACTTAGGATTTTAGAAACCGTATAGATTTTGAAAAGTCATCATTTACATCGAAGTATATATTCAAAACAAAACTATCAGTAAAAAGAAAGAAACTGGAGTGAGAAAATAATTGGTTACCTATGTAGAACTAGTTTCTACATATTATTATTTTTTATTATTAGTCCCCTGGGTTCCTAGTGGAACATAGGGCTTCAGTAGCACGCCTCCAGTGACCTCTGTTCTCTGAGATCTTTTGAACCTGGTCCCACGACAGCCCAGAAGCTCTCATTTCCTGCTCGCACGACTCTCCACATATTGAAAGGATTTAATTTTCGATCTTTAATGAGAGCATGAGAAGAAGTTACTTTTTACTGGTTTACAAACTCATTTATAAAGCTAAGTTTATTATTACTCATATCCAATCTTTTGAGTTGCTGTGTACTTAGATATCGAAAGTATGTATACAGAATTGATAGAAAACATCTACTACCTAGCACAAGCTAAAACGGGAATATGAGAAAAGTTGTTTATTTATCAAATAAGTAAGATTGCTGACTCCGTAAAATTTACGCATCTGTATCTGCTTATTTTATCAAAATAAAAAAACTAGATTGCATCAAATGTTGCGCAAGCAAAAAGTCACTTATGCCTTCTTCTCTTCCATGTTACATTTCAAAAATACAGATCGTATCACAGCAACTGTGGCCATAAAAGATTAGATCTGTCTGGATTTTATTTAGGTGTATCCATTTTTAAACTAAATTTCCTTACGATTTAGGATATTTAATTTTAGTCAAGCTTATTGGCGATAATTCAACTAAAGCAACTTAAATACTCAGTATTAATGAATTCTAACTCTTGGGAATAAAAAGGATTAGTGAGTGTAAAGATTACGAAATTGTACACTGTACTAGTCTTATCCTTTAGTGAAATTAAAATTTATCCATTTCTTTTTGACGATCCTTTTTTTTAATCGTGAAACCTAATTTACATCTTGTATAGTCTTACTTGAAATGCTAAATTAAACCCAAAATAAAAAGAAGTGTGAAAACAGGAAGATAAAAATGCAGAGATAATCAATCTCTTACAGGTGATTCTTTCCCAGGGATTCAGTTAGTTAAAACATTTTAAGTGATTGAGTAAGAAATGGATAAGAAATTACTGAATGTTTCATATAAATTTCGAAATTATTAGTTGAAAATTCTGAATATTTTTTTTTGTCTGATTTTAAAATGATGTCGATTACACCTTTGCAAACAGGAAAAGTTTTACAGATTACAAGTATGCAAATCTTTTTCTGATTTGATTGTTATCCTGATTCATTATAGACTCTCTTGAGAAGACAGACCTTCAGAAGCTGTAAATAAGTCTCCTGTTACGGAGTATTTTCATTAATTGATGGCATAAAATGAAAAAAAAATGCCAAATGATATCAGTCCATGATGAATACTACCTTCAAAATAAAATCTCCATTACCCTCAAAATGTATAAATAGAGAAGTTTAACGACAACTGGAACGCTGCAGACGCATTACATACATTAAGTATTCGCTTCAACGATGCCGTTTACTTACTATTTTTTCGAATTACAGTGAGGACTGTAAGATCGCTGAATAGATACATTTCAATTAGGAGTATTTAAGTATTAACTTGTCGAGTCAGTTTAAAATGTCATGGTCTGTAAGCCGATTTCTTGTAGAGGCATAGAGATATTCAGTACAAATCACCTATATTAGATAATTTTTTAAAAGGCTTTAGACTTAATTTATCATGCATAAGGTATTATTTGCAGTGAATTTGTGTAACTTGATTGTAAGCTTTGTTCAAAATTCCAACATGGTTATGCGACCAGGGTAATGCACCTTTTCATTGTTAGACAAATTATCCAACAAATTAATTTACTCATTATATTGATCTTGGTGACTAACAGAGGAAGCCAGGATGCGCATCTCATCCTATCCGGGACTCGTCACCCGACATCATTTTCATGAAATCTATTAAATGAATATCGATCGACTGAGTAGCTCAAAATAACCAATGATAATCACAAAATCAATAACACAGTGAAAAAACACTAGACTGAAGAAAGACATCGGTGGATTAATTTCATTTTGGTGATAACATTCTCAGAAATTGTAAACTTAAATATTCAATAATCTAAAACATAAGTATGGGCCGACCACTTCAAAAAGCTCTTGAATCGACCACCACCACCACCTGCACTTCGTCCAGAAATACCACCTACAGCCCAGTCGCTGAACTACAAGTAAACATAAATCCTCCAACAAAAATGGAAGTCCTGAACGCCATAAAGCTACTGAAATGTGGGAAAGCAGCAGGACGAGATGGGATCACCAGAAGCACTGAAAACAGACACAGAGACAACAGCAGACATGCTCACACCACACCATCATTGCAGAAGATGTGGAAGGAAGATTAGGTACCTGGTGATTGGAAGAAGGGTAACCTTGTCAAACACCCGAAGAAGGGAGACCTCAGTGTTTGCAAGAACTGGCGTGGAAGCACTCTCCTGTTCACCCGGAGCAAGCAAAATATTAAGCCGCATCATCCTGGAGAGGCTAAATTATGCACTGGATTGAAAACTACGACCGGAACAGGCTGGCTGGATTCAGGAAGTACAAAACATGTGCAGACCAAATTGCAACGCCACACTACGCATCATCATAGAACAGAGTATAGAATGACAGTCAACTCTACACCTCAACTTTACCGACTTTGAGAAGGCCTTTGACAGAGTCGACCGAGAGGTAATTTGGAAACTGCTTCAATACTACAAATACCACAAACCTTTATCAGCCTCATTCAACAACTATATGAAGACACTACATGCCAAGTAATTCACAATGGACAGCTCAGTGA